CATTCATATTTCATTCCTTTTTTTTTCTTTAATAAAAATGTACTAAATTTGCCTTCAGAAAATCTGATCAATTTAGTTATAGTAGAAAAGTTCTACTTGAAATAATAAATATAAGACAATAAAGCCGATCGTAAACTGATACGAAATCATATTTCCAATGTAACTTCTTCGAACAATTACTGTAATCGTCAACTGTATTGTTCTGCGAACTACTATCTTGAAACGACACTGCAAAAAGTCTTGTATTTCTTAACATTCTATTGTCAAGGGTATATAACTTCATACGCTTTCATTCAATTCTGAAAACCTCGAATAAACTATACATAGCGAATAGTTATTAGAAAAGATTCCATTTTTGAATCATTCTTAATTTTAGTTACATGTAAATTATTGTAGAGCTCAGAAGTTTGGCCCAGGGAGGAATGCAGGTCTGATTGGGTTATCCTCACAAGCCCACCTTCTCTAATGCAATCATAAAAGTAGAGCACGCGTATTGTCATTATTGGCTGAACGCGACAACATCGACAAATCGGATCATATACGATTACTCTCACTAATATTCGGACACTCTTTAGAACAGTTCTTTTAACAAATTTTGTATCTGAGCTTGTAATTAAAATTTTAAAAAATACGTTTTTTAGATCTATGTTAATTATATATATGCTGAAAATTTCATCGAAATCGATTAATATTGCTACGAGCTACAAACAGTTAAAAATTGTGAAAATTGCACTATGTCAGCTTGCGGCGGCCTATAACTGTAATAAATCTGAAGATTTTTACATCTTTCGATGCTTGTCGCTTGTTTCTCCATCCACCGATTTCCATGAAATTTTCAGCATGTGTATAATTGACATAAATCTACAAAAAGTATTTTTTAAATTTTTGTTACAAGTTCAGATAAAAAAAGTTGTAAACAGTGACCTATACAATTTTCTTCGCGATTCCCACAAATTGCAATTTTTTAAAAATTTTTGGCACACGTCATCTAGTAAACTAATCCTTCTAACTTCTCAAAAAAACTCAAGTCGTTTGGTCCAATTTCAAAAAAGTTATACTATTCTAAAAGTGGGTGAACATTAATGGACCACAACTGTATGTAATTAACGGTTTTGAAAATATTTCAGCTTCCAGTCTTAGGTGACTCACCCGGTATGAAGATGAACATCAAGAAAGTAAGTGTTCTATTTATATGTCCCCTGATTAGTTCGGCTAATTGAGGTTCTCCTGTATTTTGTATTTTATATAACATTCTTCTGCGTTATAATTGCATATAAAAATTACGAAGTTTTAAGTACCTACAATTAATTTAAATAAAAATACAGAAAAATCAAAAATGATTTTTAAAAGTGCAGTTTTAACTTTCATGTCTTATTACACCGGTATTAGTTTTTTAAATATTATTCAGAATATTGAAGTTAATAGCAGGTTGCTAGTAAATGCAAAGAAAATAGTTGTATGAATATAAGTGTAAAATCACTGAATTTGGAAATATATCTAACTTAATTAATTCATTGTCTCATATAAATGTTCTATTCATTTTTAAGTACCGTGAATACGTTTACAAATTTAAAAATATAAAATTATAGAGAAACAGTTAGAAACATAATTATAATAACTGTTTTAATTTTTTAAAGTTAACATCATTTCATTGATATTTTGGAAAATTTCTATTCATTAAGATAGTTGTTTAAAAGTACTGAAATGCATTATATTTAAATTGTTGTTATTTGATATTTTTCTTTTTGGATGTAACAGTGCAAAAAATTACATATTTATCTTATTGCTAGACATGCTTTCCTTTGATTACAGTATTACTAAAAACATTTGATTTTAAACCACAAATTAGAGACGCGAAAGCATTGTATCACTCGACATGGAAGAATTTAATTAAAGACGTCACTGAAAATCAATATAATCCTTGCTAACCTATCGATTTTCAACTACATATTACAAAACGGACGAATTCCGATCTGAATGCCGATTTTCTACAGATTTGTACTATCTTTTAAATCGGATTACGAATGTTCCGATTAAGTAACATGTTTATCTATACTTCGTATAAATAAAAGTAGTTTAATTGTTATAAAAATTGGTGTTAAAAAATATGGAACAAATAAAATGTAATATATAAATTGTTTGCCAAAGTCCTTTTGTAAACGAAAATTACGATAAAAAATTTATTATTGAATAAAGTAGAATTTATTTAAATTGAAGCAAATAAAAAATTAGTAAGAAATTAAATAATTCCACTAATTTGTGAAAACACTGTTTCTATTAATAAAAAATCTGTTTCTAAATAAAATTTTTTCTTCATATACCATAAAATATAAAAATGAAAATGTGAAAAAAAATCTGAAAGAATTCGTATTCAACTTCCTATTCTGAAACTTCGAAGGAAAAGTACTGCATCGTAAAGTGCACCGTACTCAAGATTTAATCGAATCGAAATAATTTTCGAAAACATTTTACGCGTATAACAGTAAACTGACTAAAAATTAATCTACATCTATTTTACATTTATACATTAAAAATTATACGTTACTTTATACATTAAATTATACACGTAAATATACACGTCTGCGTTCATCATCACTGTACATTCTATATTGAATTATTCTACCTATTTATTAACATATAAAGTACTTTATCGATTAATAATATCGGATATGAACAAATCAGTAAAATCAATCCTTGTTATTATACTAAACCAATTTATGCACTGGTGTTCATTCGTTATGAATTTATTAATACTGCATTGAGCAAAAAAATCAAGTATAATAACAACGTACATCAATCTAGTAATTAAACCTACATTGACGCCTATGAAGTTAGCGTAACATGCTGCTACGTTGACGTAATTGAAATACGCAAATTTCACAATCTCGTAAGCGTGAAGACAAAGCACAAAGATTAGATAATATTCATAAAAGCGTGCGGTATAACGTTTTTACGTGCGCAGATTTTCATCGGGACATTACACTGTCAACAAAGCAAGTCGTCGATAAAAAGTAAACAAATTTTACAGCGTAAAAATTACCACGATTAAGCATACCTTTCAAAATGACACACATATCTCAATTATGGCATGTTAGGATTATACAACCAACGAATAAAATGTGTGACAGCGCTCCTAGAATCAAATTAAAACAAATATCGGCTAAGTTGTGTAACAAGAACACTGATACAAACAGTGATACAAATTCCTTCAATCACGTTTTCACGGGAATTTCTGTTTCAAATTTCATACTATCCGCGAAAAAGGAAGAAAAAGAAGAAAAAAGAAACGAGAAACCAAACAAAAATATACCTTACTGCGGGGTCATACTCCTGCGTCTCCTCGCAATCATTATCTCCATTAGGAAGACACACGTGATTCTCCTCACCAGACGTGCAATTGGGCATCTTGATTGCCAGATTTTTTACCTTTCGCCGAACAAAGTGCAACCGAAGATAAACGATAGAAACTCGAATGTAATCGGCTGACTAGTCAGCTGACGATACGTAGTCGGAGTCTCGCCAAGGACAGAACTCTTTAAGCTGCAGTGAGCAAAGCCGATCTTCGAATAGAATACAAGCTGCTTCAGAGAACGTTTATATGTTCCTCTGGACGAGTCCCGACCGTTACCTTCCCACCACCTCGCCTGTTGGCTGCGAAACGGCTGTTCAGGCTGGGGGCACACGAGCGTTGAAACAACGATTTCGTACGGATGTACAGTCGGTCACAGAAATATTGGGACACCGGTATAGTTTTATCTTTTAAGCTTTACATTTTGAGTAAGTACGTAATTATGTAGAGAAATGTATTGAATTATGTTATAGTATAGTACAAAGAATCTATAAATATCAAAACGACTAGTTGTTTACATATCGTTGCATTATATTGCAAGAAAAATCTGAGATATGCCAAATTTTATGTCACAAAAATATTGGGACACTTTATTAATTTAAGCTATAAAATAAAAATAATGCCTTCGGTATATCTCTTACCCTTTATTTTTAATGACTTCTCTTAAACGGTTTGGCATGTTATGAATTTTTTTTTTTTCCAAAAAATCTGTTTGTGCCATTCTTCCTTTATCCGACTTTTTAGCTCCTCTTTGTTCATTATCGTTGTTTTATGAACTCTATGGTTCCTAAATTTTGCGTGAAATTCAGAATGAGATTAATTATGAGAAATATTCAGTTCCTAATATTCAGTCAGTGCAGAAAATGTACGAAGGGTACTTAGAGCGGGAAGTTATTACGGCAGAATAGCCAGAAAGAAACCGTACATTAACGTTATAAATATGAAAAAGAGACTCCAATTTGCGAAGGATTTTATATTAAAAGAAACTGAGTGGTGGGACACTGTGATTTTTGCGGATGAAAGTAAACTTAATGTTTATGGCAGTGACGGAAGAATGAAAGTTTAGCGGAAGAAGAAAGAGGAAGTATGTAACTCCTAAACCAGGCATGGGCAACCTTTCCTAGTTTGGGGGCCAAATTATCATTCTGTCTTCGAGTCAAGGGCCGAACCAAATTATTAAATAAAATAAATTAATATTAAATGAATTAAAACAAGTTGCTACTTCATATTTCATTAATTTATAATATAATGTTTTCGTATAAAGCTGTACATAAATTTTATAATATAATGAACGACATAACGATTTAACGCGAAGATTGAAGACAAACTTCGCTGAAATAGATTAGGGCCGGGGGTTGCCCATATGTGAACTAAATATTCAACTCTATATAAAGTATATTTACAATACTAGTTTTGTATACAAATCAAATACAGACATTAAATAGTATTGTTACCATTAAATATAGATTACTTTAACAAATACGCACGTGTGGTTATTGTGCTATTTCGCATCGGTTACAAATATGTAGTATGATTTCGTGTGTAAACTATCTAAAGATAAAGGTTATCAATGCTTGGAAAAAATAGTCTGTAATTTTTCTAGGGTATGTACATATTTCCCAGAGTACTCGAAGTAATAAAATTTATGTTTTTATATAATATTAAGAATTTCTTGCTACATATACAGTCGCTGTGAAAAATGTCGACAAGCTTTAAAAATGTATATTATCGTCAAACGCATAGTAATCGACTACCATGTTTGACCGTAGTAGTAATTGTGGTAGATTGAAAAGATTCAATGCGTTTTCTGCACACATATTTTCTTTTATTGCCGGAACAAAGTTCAAATTATGACTTTTTCCAGAATATGACCTTTTTCCAGAAGTTTAAAGATTTATTTATAAATTGTCTAGCAAACGTTAAACATTTTCGAGCATTGATTGCACTGATACATGGTCATTCGAACCCTATGCCTGCTTTATGCATGAAAGTATCTAAGTTTCTTGTATAGACAAATTTAGTTTGAACTTTTAACTGTTTGACGGAAACAAAATGATTTTGCAACACCTCTCTTATTATAATGCGATCCTGTTTGGGCGTGCTTTTATGTGGACGTCCTGATTTTAGAAGATTTTGTGCAGTTCTAGCTTTTCTAAACCGATTTACCATCTTTCTGACACCTTCTATAGAAATATTAAAATCTGCAGCAATTTTCCATGATGATCTTCCATTAAATATAATATTTGTGACCTCTCTGCAGGTATAAGTTCGCGGAATTCTGGCATTTTAAGAAAGTATTTTAGTTAATTTTATTTTTAATGTTTTATGTTTATTTATTTTTATGCTTTGTAAATGTTATGAAATAAGTAAGTTGTAAATTAATAATTATTTTTATTAACTCTTCTGCTCGTCAACTAGTAATGTTACACAGAAATTGTTATAAATCGTAATCTTGTAAGGAAATAATAAAAAATGGAATGCTATGAATGTAGTTGCTATAAAATAATAGGTGACATTTTGAAAAATGTAACTAAAATAACAATTCCTACATTATTTACGCTAAAAAGTTTGTTCTTCATTTTATTTATAGTAGAATTTAATACTGCTGTTGTATAAGATAAATATAATTTATTCGATAACTTATCAGCTTTAGACAGGTAGATACTGCATCCAACAATATCAATAACGTTCTTATCTAATGTTCTTATTGTAAAAAATTTTTTTTTTATTTATTATCTTA